TTACACCATTGTTTGCTGAAACGTGCGTTACTCAGAATAGTGAAGTATGTCCATTGTGCCACCAAATCCCATCCTATCTAAACCCTACCCCTTACCCGTAATGTTCATGCTTGTGACTCAAATGTTCAATGTTCTAAAATATTATAGCATAGACCTACAGTAGTTGCTTGTTTGTGTTTGTTAAATTTCGTGCAAAGCTAGTCGTCGCTGATTTAGAAGTGATTGACTAGAGGGAAGGTAGCTAGTCAACAATACCAACCGCCAATTCTTGTGCTACTCTAATCGAACAAGGCCCGGCATAGCCAGGTGGTTATGGCGCTAGACTCTCAATCTGCGGGTCGCGGGTTCGAATCCCCGTCACACCAAACATGCTCGCCCTTTCAGCCGTGGGGGGGGGGTTATAACGTGACGGTCAATCCCACTATTCGTTGGTAAAAAAGTAGCGCAAGAGTTGGCGGTGGGTGGGTGGTGATGACTAGCTTCCTCCCCTCTAGTCTTACACTGCTAAATATATATATCCAATTTATTTAACTGCTAAATCTAAATTACAATTCAACTCAGTTTTAGGCTATTTGAAGTTGTAATACGTAACATTCGATATTTCACTTAGATAAACTATAGCATACATAGACTATAAGATTAAGTTTTAAATATCGGAAACTTAGCCATCAGTTTTTTACGAGCGCCTGATTTTATTACTTTTCTTCGGTGTTATTATGATTGTCTGGTTATATAAATGTTAAACCTTAGTGCAACCGAGTGGTATAGTTGTTGTATTGACATTGTGAATCATTAATATTATAAGAGCTTTATTTAAACATTTAACCTTAGAATGCAACTTTTCTGTTCAAATATATTGTTGTTCGTATTAGCGTGAGAAGCGTTTGCACACATTGCAAATGTAATGTTTTTTTTAGTTTGTGCGGTCAAAACAACCTGCAGGACATACTGTATGTTATTAACAGAGGTGATAGTTTAGCAATTTTCCACTTTCTGTAGCTCGGACTGCGGTAGTCCAAACTATCACATATTTTCAGTGGATGTGATCTGGTTGACCCTTACTTCACATATCAAATTTCAAGGTAATCTATTAAGATATACACGAGCTATAAAATCTCTAATTTGGATTGATTTTCTTCTTTTTTTGTCTTCGCACTGAAAGTACGGAAGCTTTATTTGACAGAAAAACATACTTAACTTTCATGGATTTTCTTTTCAAATTTGGTACACTGATAAATCTTTACAAACTACAAATAGGTGTCAAATTTGGTCAAAATATAGGCCACGCAACAAAAACCGCTCAATTTTGACCACGTGAGCTCACGGGCTGAAATATTTACTACAGAAAAGGTGAACCGTTTTTAGTTTTTTGTCATTCGGATGAAAGACGGCTGATTTAGAGCAGTAAAACAATAGGGTGAAAACATATGCAGATATATATAAGTATTGATTAGGCCAAGCAAACTAGATTAGCAGTTTCTAGCTCAAGGTTTCGAAAGAATCATACGGTGAACGGTTATTATTCATTGCCAACTTTTAAGTACAAATTTGCTAAATCTTATGAAATTCTCCTAATTAAAGAGCGTTTAGTGTCACGTGATATTAGCTTAAGCAATTAGTACGGCTGTACGAGTGCATGCGGGTGATGAAAAGAAACTAGCTAACTAATGAATGAATATTTGCTGTAAAACTTTTATCAATGCTATAAGTGTAAATACTAGTTTGACCGCCAATTTTGATTTCATTGTTTTAAGTCGCACGCTCAATCCTTTTTTGGCAGCACCTTTTTTTTTACACCTCAGGTATTTTTGATTAGATACATAAACAGTCAGTCGACACAAATGATATTGTCTTTTAGGGTATGGGAACAATTAATGTATGTGATATTCTTAAGCGGTCTACGGAGATGTCCCCCTGTGAGACAGCTATAAAGCGGTGAATATATGGACTTACAACAATGAAATCCGGGGTTTGATTTCCCGTGATGGATAGAGCACAGATAGCCTGTTGTATATTTTGCGCAAATAGGGGAAAAAGTGCTTCAACCGAGTGAACGTTTAAAAGATGCAGAAATCTTAAACAAAAAATAATGTGAAACCTAAATGTAATAATTTTGCAGAAGAATATTTAATGCGGATTTTTACTAAAACGTAAGATAATAAACAATCTTGTATCGGTAGAGTGCCAGTTATTCACACTAGTCTACAGGTCATGTTCCTGAGAAATGCGCTGAAGCGTTTCAAATTTATGCAACGAAAAGTCTATTAGTAAACAACGAAAATAATATCTCTGATTGCGCAAGGTAAAAAAATTGTGCGCATTATGCATGAGGTAATTCACGTTGTTCTTTCAATAAAAGAAACATATAAACACACACACACAAGGGAAACCTTTCTTGATTTTCAAGACATGTAAAGACATTCATTGTACAACTAGAAACCAAAAGAAGGTGATCGAAGACAAATCAGACGCAGCTGAAAGGAAGAACCAACTATAGAGTCGAAACGAAAAGGAAGTAGTCAAAAATACACCAGTCGCAGATGAAAGGAAGAACCAACTATAGAGTCGAAACCAAGAGGAAGTAGTCAAAAATACACCAGTCGCAGATGAAAGGAAGAACCAACTATAGAGTCGAAACCCAAATGAAGTAGTCAAAAATACGTCATACGCTGCTGAAAGGAAGAACCAACTATAGAGTTGAAACCCAAATGAAGTAGTCAAAAATACACCAATCGCAGATGAAAGGAAGAACCAACTATAGAGTCGAAACCAAGAGGAAGTAGTCAAAAATACACCAATCGCAGATGAAAGGAAGAACCAACTATAGAGTCGAAACCAAGAGGAAGTAGCAAAAAATAAGTCATACGCAGCTGAAAGGAAGAACCAACTATAGGGTTGAAACCAAATGAAGTAGTAAAAAATAAGTCATACGCAGCCGAAAGGAAGAACCAACTATAGAGTCGAAACCAAATAAAGTAGTAAAAAATAAGCCATACGCAACTGAAAGGAAGAACCAGCTATAGACTTGAAACCAAGAAGAACTAGTAAAAAACAAGTCATACGCAGCTGAAAACCAAATAGGTAAATAACTACCAACAAAAGTGTTGCTATTCAACTTTTACTAAATATTCGCAAGTGCTTTAGTTTAACCTCTCGATCTTGTATCCGAAGATATAATTGGAAAACTAACATGGCAGATGTTTATGTAGTTAAATGTTCCCCCTCCATCCAAGTTATAATTAAGCTGTATAACGTTACACATTTTATCGTCAGTTTCTATGAATTTTGTAGTAGCGTGTTTTGTATCAGTGGTTCAGAGGTTATGGAAGTATACATTTGTACTGTTTCATAGTGTTTCTGTGTAACATTTGTTGCTTAACTCTAACTTTGAGAGATAGCAATAAACGGAACCAGTGGGTTATGATTGATATACACAAGATATACATTTGGAAGCTTTTTAGTCTTCGTGGATAATGATCATAAATGAAAATTACTATTTTAAATATATGCATGGAAATATTTCCAGTTTTTAAATTCTGTTTTATGTTGCTTTCAATGGGGTAAAAGTACAATGCCGAAAGATATACGTGTGGTCTACGCTAACTCAAGCAATGAATTTTAGAAGGTTTCAGGATATATGACTATAATTATTTATAGCACCAACTTAAGAATTTTTTTGGAAAAGTTTTTTCCTGGAAAATAATATTTGGTTATCACGTTACGTTCTTCAATTATAAGCTTATTTATGCATGGTTTTTGAATATAGAAATTTGAATGATTTCTGGTTGAATGGACGGTAATTGCCTGTTGTAGAAACTCAAATATAGAGGACGACGTTCCTCTGTAATGGTGTTTCTACAACAAACAGTTGCCATCTATTCAACCATATTTCATCTTGAATACTCTGCCTAAACAATCTATTGAATGATTTCATTGAAAAAATCAAGGTGTTCTGTAGGATTGTGCGAGTGAACAAATCATTGTTTAGCTCCATTTAGTGCTAAAATATTGAATTAGGTTTTTCAAGTAAGGTATTTTTTTTTAGATTTGTTAAACTAGTTAATTCACTTCGAAAGTAATGCTACATCAAGACAGACATCACCAACTACATTTTATTTCCTTTTTGTATAGAACAAATAGTTTACATGATAACAAGAACATACCACATTTCTAAACACACTAACTCATTTTCTGCTAATAAGCCTATCAGTCTCTTTTTTTGTTGTATAATAACAAAAACACACCACTTTTGTTTAAGACTCATAACGTAGGTAAATTAATATTTAGAATTATACACGAAAGCTCGCAGATAAAAGTATTTTAACGTAGAGAAAAGTCACTGTATAATTCTACAAACCAACTACATTTTATTTGCTTTTTGTATAGAACAAATATTTTACATGATAACAAGAACATACCACATTTCTAAACACACTGACTCATTTTCTGCTAATAAGCCTATCAGTCTCTTTTTTTTGTTTGTATAATAACAAAAACACACCACTTTTGTTTAAGACTCATAACGTAGGTAAATTAATATTTAGAATTATACACGAAAGCTCGCAGATAAAAGTATTTTAACGTAGAGAAAAGTCACTGTATAATTCTACAAAACACACCACGTTAAATCGCTTTCTAACAGATTCATTCAGTTTGTTTTTCTGTTTATATCATAACAAAACAAATCACGTTACATGGTTTTCTTCCAACAAAGCCATTCATAGTCTGTTTTTCATTTTAAAGTCATTTGCAGTTTTATTTAATGAAATCATGTTTTTCAGTTATTTTCCTACTTCTGGAAATCATTATGTCACTAATATTATGCCTGATATAATCAGTAATGATTTTTATTTTCAAATCATTAGTTTTCTCTTTCATTTCTCATTGTGTACTTTGTTACGTATCTGATTTAAATTGTTCTTACAAGGATTACCTACTCATTCTATCATGATAAGTAATGAAAAAAACATTTTGCAACTAGTAATTGTGATATAGGGACCACAATGCAAAAAGTACAGTAACAAGGTAAGAGTTGAATACACAAAACCGTACAGAAATCCCTACATAAATAGCCAGTACGTACTGAGTCAATCTTACAAGCTTATGGTTATTAGCCACTGTAAGATTGTATTGCACTGCCCAGTATAAATGCTTTTATTCAAACCTGAATTCATGCAACTGACAGGAATTCAACATTTGGTTGTAGATAAAGGTTATTCTTGGAAAGATTTGCCTACTTGTGTAGTGATTTTTGTATGGTTTTGTGTATTCATCCCTACTTTGTTTCTTAACTTCTTGGCTTTGCCATCCCTACATCATAGTAGATAAAGGTTATTCTTGGAAAGATTTGCCTACTTGTGTAGTGATTTTTGTATGGTTTTGTGTATTCATCCCTACTTTGTTTCTTAACTTCTTGGCTTTGCCATCCCTACATCATATTTAATTTTTGTAAATTTGTTTTATTACTTGATGTTTCCCCTTTTTTTCTTTAAACAATTTCATTGAAGAAGGTTGATGAGTGAAGTTTTTTTTATTATAAATCAATGGTAATATATGTTGTTAATATCATATCACTTGTAGAATGACCTCAGATATTGATATTATATCATAATTGGTCACAAAAGATTATTAATCATGACTGGTCATAATCTTGACTTTTTCGAATTTAATGTTGAGGAACCTACTGTAAGGAAAGAACATATGAAAAACATATAGCTGCTTCATCACTATATTCACGTTTGCATTCTCTTTGGCTCTGCCATCCTTACATCATTTTACATTTACAACACGTTTTTGTTACTAGTTTTGTAACTTTTTTTTCCCTGACTGAAAGTTAATGTATTCAATGAAATTGGGCAATAAACTTAATATTATGTGTATTTATTTTTCCTGTTACTCCTTCACTCCATACATAATTTAGGGACTGGCTCCCTAAAGACATCGATTGTATAGTGTACAAAGCATTCATTATTCTACATGTTACAGTCATCTAATGTTCATCTATTATTGACTAATAATTCCTGTTTCACCATGTACTTAAGTTTTTAAGGAATACCAGTTTTTTGTAAGAAAGCCTATTTCAAGGGGTAATGATAACATCATTTATACAACAGTGCTTAATATTAGCCTATTTCCAAGTACTCTTAAAATGATTTTCTGTCGTACTAAAGCCATTGCGAAAACTTCGCAAATTTTATGGCTAGCGTGGGAAAAGAAAACAAATGAACACTTTGACTCTTTAGCTAGTTCTCAGTTCTCCACTTTAGAAACACTTTTCAATGATATTCGGAGGCTCACAAGCTGTGAAACACTCGATAATGGCAATTATGTACTCAAATAAGGATATAACTCAACTTTAGTAGTTATTTGAAAGCATCGTAGAATAATAGATTGATCGTGGCAGCCATGTTTTTCTAGACCAATCCCTACATACTAAGCACTTCCGTAATACTTGATATAATATAATGCTCAATTGCGAAATTTATACATTAAAAACATCAGAATACCGAACCGCATATTTTATTCATATTAAACATAATTCTAAGAACAGTTTCATGTTTTTGATTCAACTGTAGGGATTCTTTTTTACATTTTACAGTTTGCTTTGTAATACAACTTAAATAATTTCTTAATTGACAATGCATTATATTTATGTGATTTACTGCTAATGGTAAATTGGTGTTGCTTAATACAATAAATTGTGATTAAAACCCAGATTCTCTAAACTCTAGCCAATTTATTATTCAGTTATATATCGTGTTCAAGTTATGTTAAATCTAGAACTCCACAGAGAGAACTTAACATTTCGTATCAGCACTTAACAACAGCATATTTCAGTACAAATAATGGCTGGAGACGGCTTGAATGGGTAATGAAGAAAAACTTTAATATAACAGCAAATGTACAACGTTTCGACAAGGTTTTGTCATCAGAT